TTATAATTTTTCGCTATCTTGAGTATCAAATTATTTACCGCTTGGAAACGGGATATTGCTGTTTTTCACGTGTTTGCTTAAGAAATTTTCCGCGAGAACAAACTAAAAGGAAGCAACGTCGATATATAAAACAAGAATTTCCATCATGTCGCTTGTGTTGAAACAGCATAGAGCTTTTAACATTTGAGACTTTGAAAGTATTCAATTTATTTACCTTTAAAGCAATTTATATGAGGTAATAGTTCTCTGTTCTTTACTTTTCCATTTGAATCTGCTGCTGTATTTGTAAATACTTTCAGTTACGTAAAAATGTAATTGATGCTTTTTGCAGATATTTAAAGTTCAAAGTTCTAGCGTATTATATGCAACTTTTTATTAAATTTGTAAAAATAATTATTTACCTGTAACCACATGACACAAATTATTTTATTAACACTATCGTTGTCAATACAATACACTATTTTAGTTACCATTTGTATCTATCCAATGTACTAAATTAAGGATCAATCGATTAACGATTGACTCAGGGACGCAGTCTATAAAATCTGACTACCAGTGTCGCCCCCCTTGCCCACAGTGACACATTATATCATGTCGATAAAGTAAATGATTCAGTATAAGAACAAAGGCTTTCACGGCCGGAATCTATAGTAGAATGAAGATTCGGGCTATAGGGCCGTGGTCTAAGTGAACTATTCTATCCATACGTTTCGTCAGCTACTGCGGCTGAAGTCTCGACAGCGACTGGGTCTCCCTAGAGATATAATCTACGTTCACGTTGCCAACGCAGCACTACCACTGAGGATATCAGCCGCAGTAGCTGACGAAACGTCTGGACAGAATAGTTCACTTAGACCAGGGCCGTAATATACCCCGAATTTTCATTTTACTGTAAATGATTCAATGAAAATGCTATGTTAATAGTTAATCTAATCATCGGTGGAGTACTGCCAATTCATTCATTCGAATATTATCACCAAATAACAAAGAAAAAATCATCAATGAGAACGAAGAACAATGGTGCAGGTTTCTAGGCAGAGACGACGGAGGATTGGCGGTGCTTAATGAGTTGCAGACGTTAACGGTCTGCGACTCGTAGCCTAGAAGGAGTCGTTGATTATGTCGGAGCTATGGGTTCCAGACGGTAGAGAAGGTAGCTATCGCACCCTGGCAAGAGCCCCCTAGCTAAAAAGCAACTTTTTCCTTTGTAAGAGCCTCCTAGCTGCAGAAATAATTTGCCCGCTGCCTCGAGGACATTCATGATCGGTACCACACTAATATGAGCCAAGGACCATCAAAATAAATAACTCGACTACGTCGACGAGTCGCTGATTTCGCCTATGCAGCCGTGTCGCTGACAATTGGCTTTCGCTCTTATTCTTACTCTTTCTCTTTTTATTGTTGTCTTTGTTGTTAATTATATGTGAATAATGAATTGGTACTGTTCAGTTAAACTCACAATGTTTATTAAAAAAACAGACTTTGGATAATTGTGAACTGCATAAGATCGTATTGTGTCAGTATTGAAATGTATCATTTTAGTGTCTCTGTCTCAGTCGACGATATTTTAATCGGATCGAGAGAGCGACTTAAACGTCCGAAGTCAAGCTAAGAATTTAAAATAGCAACTTAAAGCGTAATGGGATGTGGCTTTGTTTGCTCCCATACAGAAACGGGCGATTTACTCTTCTTGTTGCCATTGTCTTTATAAGAATGCCTGGCATCAGTGGAGAGAGAAACTTACCAGCAAATTCGTTCGAGGGTTTTATTCCCTCTTAAACCTCATCTCGAGATGCTCCTTTTCCATTCAGCAAATGATACCAGCTCTACGGAATTTCATCTACGCTTACTCATTTAGATTTTTAATCAAATAGTTAATTATATTTCTGTATCGTACACTGCGCGCAAAAGTTTTTATTATTCTTGACGATGAAACAGTTTTAGTTGCAATAACAATCATGACAATTTATTTGGAATAATATAATAATGTTAAAACAATTTAATGTATTGGATTGTATTGAATTAAAAAGTAGATTTTGACTCTAACAATAAAAATTCCATAATAATATAACGTAATAACGCATTTATTTTTAAATGTAGTCACGCTCTTGTATTTAAATAAAGTTTCAAAAACAACTGCGACATTAGAATCGTTACATATGATACTTTGCCTTCCCGAGTTGTTTCAGTCTCCCAGAGTCTCTGAAATCGAGACTTGAGTCTCCGTCTCTCATCGAGTCTCTCTGGTATCGCTGAGAGAGACTGTCAAAAAAAAAACTGTTTAGCCTCTCTGAACGAGAGACTCGAGTCGCTCATAGGGAGATGCTCATTTCGTATCCAGTCTCTGAATGAGAGACTCGAATCTCTCAATAAGTGGTGTCTCGATAGGCATGATTAAAATTTTCTAAGTTCAACATATTTCAGAGATTCCAGTCTTTCTACGAGAGACTCGAGTCTCTCAATTTTTCAGTTTTATTCATTCAGTCTCTCTGTGAGAGAATCGAACATCTGAATTAACAATTTTATCGTTCGAGTCTCTCATACAGAGACTGTGAGAGATCCATAAGAAAACCTAGGCAATAACTGAGAGACTGTGAGAGACGCTCTCAGAGACGCTGAAAGAATCTGAAAGACTCTGAGAGAGTGGAGAGAGACTGAAAATTTTTGTCTAGGGATATTTATTATTGACATCTCCTCATCTGTAACTATTTCTGTTCACGGTATCTCCACAATTCGCCTGTAACATCACACTCTTTGTTTAAGCATGTAAGCTTTAAGTTTTCGAAATAACACGCTACCGCCAGCGCTTTCTTGCATTCTTGGGAGTCAACAAATCATAATACCCTATGCTAACAAGCAATAAACAATTCTGTGTGAAACGCTTCTTTAACGTCCCGTTTTGTTTACCTACTTCGTAAGAATAACACAGTCAAAAAACGAGTTTGGTCCTTAAAGAAAATTTCGAAGAAGTTAACCTCAATGTATTCGTCAAAAATCTATTTCTAAGAACCGAAAACTATGAGTTTTCATGTTACTGATGCAAGGGAATTTCATTTTCATTAAACGTTCTGTTCTTTGAGAGACTACTGGTGCCAGTTTTCTCATTCCAATTGTTTTGTTGAATGTTTCCAGTCATAAACTTTAGGAATAATTAAAGGATTAAGGGCAGTTTCTCGTGGATATTTTGATTTTCAGTTCCTGAAAATGCCAACTGCATATTTTTGCTCATTTGGTAGGTTCTGCGGGATTGCTAGGCTTACTAAAATGAAAAACCCAGGCAGAGGGCACTAGTAGCCCATTTCTTTCGGCGTTGTATTTTCCATGACTTGTTTGGAATAATAACTCAAGTATGGACACTGTTACCGCTACTTTTTAATCTGTACATGGAAGACGCGATCAACATCATTAAAGACAGTACAACTATAGTAGGGATTGATATACAGGGGCCAAAGATTAGTATGCTTAGATTTGCAGATGGATTAGCAGTGTTAGCATCTAGCAAAGAGGAGTTAGAGATAGCTTCAAATAAAATGGACAAAACAGTATTGCATGAAAATGAATAAAAGCAAAACAAAAATACTGGTATGCAAGGGAAGAAACATTGGGAAAGAGCGAATATAAAGATAGATAGATATAAAGCAGAGGATAGCGCAGGGTCGAGTTGCATTCAATAAATAGAAGTTACTTGTATGCTCGCGATTGTTAAAGGTGTATGTTTGGTGATAGAGAAGGTTAGAAATGAAGAGGAGAACAGATGAAACTATGAAGTCAATAAGAAATAGGCGAGATAGATTGGTAGAACACCTTCTGAGGCATGAAGATCTAGTCAGAGACATATTAGAGGTAGAAATGGAAGTTAGGTGGGGTAGAGGTAGACCTAGATTAGATTACTTTTCGCAAATAGTTAAGGATATGGGTTGTTCTAGTTTTAGGGAAATGCGAAGATTAGCTCAGGACAGGAAACAGTGGAAGTGCGTGTCCAACCAGTTTTAGGACTGACGACCTTATGATGATGATGATTTTGTTACACACACTTAAATAGCTTTATGCTTTTTTTATATTAATGAATAAATCATCATGTATAATTTATTGCAAGGAGGTTTCTTTGATTAAACATTATAAAGAAGCGGCAATTTAACTTTACAAAGACTAGGTTTTTATAAACATTCATGCGAATTTATTGAACGGTTTAAGTGATATTAATGAAAGAAAATAGCAAAAAAACTTTCTGTTCTACAATCAAACAGTAAGCATTTATCTCGGTTGGAAACACAATATTTTGAAAATAGACCAACAAAACGTCTAATCAAAGGATATAAACAACTAACGCGTTTGCTTCGTTCGGTAAGCAGGGTGTTATCATTTAATCAGAAGTATCAAATTAAAAATTGGAAGTGGAATTAAATAATTGCAAAAACAAGGACATTCATATTATTCAAAGAAGGACTTAGGTTAGGTTATGGTTTGGGGGATCGCCGTGATAAAAATGTCATAGCACTTACATGGCAATGGTTTTCGTTCGTCCAAATTTGGACGGTTTCAGCTAGTACGTTTTATAATTGATAACAGACGCAGTTACTTTTATGCTGAACTAAACAATAATATATTTTTCTTTGTTTTTATTCTGACAAAGTATGTGCTCCGATTCTCCGCATCTCGTTCATATCAATATGGTAGAAACGCTGTTATTGTTCTTTCAAACTCGTAATAAGAATGTATTTGTACGAAGTGGAACTAAGTTGTGTACATGAGAATCGTTTTAAGCCAGCTGTACGTATTGTATATGTGGATATATTTCAATCGTCGTTCGCAAATTATTATCTTCACTAATATCTATCTATCCAGTCGTATATCCTTTGGTGGATGCAATCCGATTCGAACCTTCTGCGTCCTGTGTCGAAAGCTTCTTCTTCGAGGATCAAACTGTTGCACTGGGTTGGGTCTAGGCCGAGCGCGTGCGTGAATTTCAAGTGCACAACCTCTTATGGAGCGAGGAGGGTTGCCAGTTTTCAGTCTCGTATTATTCATGCCGTATTCTAGCGTAGAAACGCTACGAATCTTTTTGCGCTTTCCACTGACTGACTGGACTTGCAACGAAAATAAAGTACTAACCTGTTTGGTTAACGAACAGTAACTTGTGAAGCGGTGAATTTCCAAATATTTTATGAGAAGGTAATTCAGTGACGGATACTGTTAGACTCTTAATCTGAAACTTTTTCTATTATCAACCTTCATTAGTGATGGTGCTCTTCCACTGAAGAAGAAAATTGGCGAAATCTGTACTCGAAGGTAAGCGTGCGAAAAGTCGGATTTTTTTTTGTATCCATTTCCTCAACTGAGAAAAGTTTTTGCTTTTATATTCCTTTAAAACGTACAATACAATTTATATTCACTTGAACATCTTGTTAGGATGTAGACGTGTGTAAAATAGAAAAATTTATGAACACCACTAGAAAAGAGAAAGTTGTAGTGAAAGGTTAAAGGTTAACATACAATTTGTTTATATTCCACTATAAATAAAACGATTTTAGATAAGAAAAATCTACAATTACTTACCTATATCTACGTAATATTATGTAAAGGCAATTAATTTATAAACTAGGCCAGAACAAGACAAAATATACAAAAAATATTTATTTCTGAGATAGATACGTGTTGTTATTGTTTTAGTATGATTACAATTGTTTATTTTGATAAAGGTATCCTGACATTAGCATTGAAATAAACATCCAAAAATTAGTTAGATGACGTTATTCCTTATGAATATTTTAGTGTTTACATCTAATTTTAAGTAGGTATATACCTATTCGCTTTTATAGCAATATGAATAAAAAACAAATTAGCAACTTTTTGTAGTTTCTAAAATGATGGTATCATAATATGTTCTTAATGGGCACATCATTGGGTCACTAATTTTTTCTGTACGGCTGATCCAACAAGATATATATATTTAATGTACCTAATAATGTAACAGGAGCCTAAAAACATCATCTGTACTTTCTAATTTCTATTTTTTTTTTTCACTGTTGAACTGTATACCTACCGTAAAATTCGGTTCATTTAGGAATTTAATCTCATGGACGATACTTACCATCTGTGCAATTATGTTGAAATTCAAGAGACGAAATTTAAATTACTAGTCGACCTTTTTGCGATGCGATAATAATAAGAAGTACCTAAACCCTGAAATCAGTGAACTCATTAGATTTCAACAAAAAATACTTTAAGGTTTAAGTTAGTTCTCCGCTGTTCGCTATTATCAGACATTTCAGGCATTTTTAGCAGTTATTTCGAATTAAAAAAAAAAAAAATAGAACATTATTATGCACCAGCCATAACCTTTCCGAATTTGAACGTTTCGTTGTCAGCCCCATCACTTTAAATGTCAATTTAATCTAACATGTTACATTGCACTTAACCCTTAACATTTTTCAATAATTTTATAATGTACCTAACAGTCTCCATTTCTGTTGTGTTGAAACTCGATCAAATTCGAACCGTGATAAAACAAATATTTAAACAATNGGCTGAAACTATAGCTACAAGCTATCCAAGGATGGTACTATAGAATGTCACCTCAAGGTAGGCCTAGTGGCGTCATCTCTTGGTTAGGCCGGAAACTTATCAATCCACCCTCGTAATGTACCTAACAGTCTCCATTTCTGTTGTGTTGAAACTCGATCAAATTCGAACCGTGATAAAACAAATATTTAAACAATTGATCTAATCTCAAACATTCAACCAAATTTACACCCGAATGTAGATATTTAGACCCGTCCTCTATTTTTCAATTGTTTAATGCTAATGCTAACTATAATACTTCAAAATTGATCGTTTTTAATTAAAAATTCCGATTGAACGATAACATCCTGAATATCCAAAGTAGGCCTATGCAATCTTTTAATTTTTTTTTGTAGTTACTGTTGACTATCCAGGAGTTCTATTATTATACTGAATTACTGCAAATAACATAGTAAACGCCATCTGTATTATATTGCTATTATACCTTTAGTGAAATTCAAAAATGTGCAACAAGGTCCATAAGGACATCAACTTCTCGAACTAAAACCAGTGCGGTGTCACTAACCCTATGTGATAAGCACGTAACCAAACAGAACAAAAAGTTCATATGGAGGTCAGTATTCTATGGAAACCTTTAGGCGTAGATCACAATTTGACCTTCTTGGGTCTCGTCAGCACGTGGTGCAAGTGAAAACGACTAGTCGTAGACGAATCTCACTCGAATGAATAGAATAACCCTTCTGTTTCTATAGATCATGATTGCAAGGCATATACGGCTTTTTGGCGTTTCAATTCGCACATATCTTTTGAACCGCTTGTTAAAGTCGGACCCCGCTAGATCCTTACGGAAAATGGACCTCTGTCAAACTGTTTGAAACTTTGAATTCTGATAGTCCTCGACGTGTAAATCAAAAATCTCAATTACACTGTTAGTTTTCTTGCGTCGTATAAACTATATATTCTATGTTGGTGTCTGATTACACCTCTGAGTACACCAACATTCCCTACAAGTACCTACACTATGAAGTTAAGGTGAACTACATTTTTGCTGAGATTTTACCACCCCTGGTCCAAAACCGTAACACATCCCATAATATACATAACGCATAGCTATAATACATTTGCATAGGTATAATTGTACCTTGAAAGTCCTTACGGAAGAATGCAACTTTAAGGAATCATATCTTACAAAGATGACTTTTACGGTTTATTGCCAATTGAGACTTTTGGTCTACATATCGAGAACTACCCGAAGCCAATGTTTCAATATGTCTGACAGAGGACAATTTCCGTAAGGATTTAGCGGGCTGCATTGGACAAAATTCAAGCCCTTTTAATTTTAGCATTTCACTTATCTTTTACCTGTTTCTACAATTTTTAACCGAAAAGTGAAATTTCCAACCATTCCTTAACTGACTGATGAAGATACACACACAAACAAATCTAAGCTAAAACATTATTATACGTATGTATATGATAGATGGACAATATTCCATGGATTTCGTGGCATGTAATATCAATGCATAAATTTTATCGTATCACTGTTATAAAATGTTTATCCAATGCGCATATTGAAAGGCTTAAAGGATAACCATATGAAAATGTTTTTTTCTGGTTTATTTTATATTAAGTGCAGATAATAACACACTTGTACTCCCCATTGATAGTGATGTCGATTATTTACAGCGTATATGAATTTAATCTGTTTTATGAATGATGTACACGAAGACACAGATAACAAATTATCTGCGTATGTAAATAAAATTCTAAAAGAAATTTTGGTAGTGCCGTTATGGGCTTTGGAAAATAAGTATAGTATATTTATCGATATTGATATATTTTAGTTTTGCTTCAAAATTTTTATTTTGTTTTGTAGACCACTAGAGCACTGCGATCGAGGTCCGGGCCGCGGAAAGTCAAAAACTGTACCGCCAAAAATTTTTTTAGTGAAGTAAATTATTTAAAAGATATTTTTCTGTAATCAACAAAACACGCCTAAGCTTTGAGCGCTACCCCTATCAAAGGAGCAAGCTGGCCGGCCGGCACAACATGCTATGTCAATCCACTTGAACGCTTTGTATCTTCATCCTAATGAAACACAAGAATAAAATTCCCAGTCAAAAAACCTCTCTTTTAATCGGTACAGGAATATTCAAGCATTTCGATTTAATTCTCTACATAATTTACATTCCTTCACTATATTCTCAGATTAATTCGACAACGAGATATAGATGCCCTAAAAGCTCTTGATCAGAAGCAATTTTGATAAGAAAAGCTTCTTGATTTGCTTATATCTCGATCTTGATCTTGTATAATCATCCTGTTTTTGATATTGTCTTATTTCGTGATTTCTGGTAGATGCAATATCTCTTTTTTCTTTTTCGTCTTGTTTTGGATAAAACAAAATAGGCGAATATCGACATTATCGACTATGTATTACTATACATTAGATTTTTTTTCAAGTGATTTATTGTTTTAGTTTGAAACGTGGAAGGCGTTGCTAGAAAATAGCATATGTAAATTGAATAAATAAGGTAGGTCAAATAAATTCATTGTACGTTGTCGGAAACGGAAAATCTCCTTGACGTTATAGAAATTTTCCAATTATTTTCTTGCCATTTGAGGGTCTTTCTTTAGAAACTTGGTATGAATCATCGATTTTATACGACCGTGAGCTGATTTATTGTGACAGAGGGCAGAAATATTCACGTTGCGATAATTAAATTTCACCCAAAATATAATAAATATTTAATCCACTGCCATGTACGCTGGCGTTTGAATGAAATCATTTCCGTTAGATGATTATTTTAAATTAAAACAGTCGGTCGATCGTTGCGCAAAGGGTTTCGTGTTGTACCTACCTATAAAACAATGCACTTTATTGATAAGCAGTAATACATCAATAAAGATACCAAACGTGAAATGATTGCTTAAGGTTTTCCGGTGAATTATGGGTAAACCCAGAGGGTGATACGCATATAGAATAAATTAGCGATATCAATGTCAATAGCTCATTGATTTTTACTCATGTCTAACATAAAGTGATACCAGATCGATCGAAACAATGATTTTTGATGTGTAATTAATAATTATTAATCGATCTAAACAATGGGCCGGCAAAAACTAGATTAAAAATTATAGGATAACCCACTCATAGCAATAAGTATTAGGTTTTGGACTTTGTGGCCGTTGTCTTTGGAAATTTCAAGATGTCGGCCGTGAAAGCCTACACGCATTTGTTCTGTACAACGATTTGAAAAAATTATAAAATTGGGGCAAATTAAACTGTGTATTAAAATTGTAAGAAAAAAGACAGTTGCAAGATTACATTATTTTAAATTAAATAGACAATTTTAGTATTTTCAATTCCCTATTTCGCTTTAGTATCTACTCGGCAAATATTANGAAGAAGTGGTTAAGGGTATATGTTTGAAACGCGGCGAAGCATGGACGTGGGTGGGTCCGAAGCATGGGAGGAAAAGAAAAGGTTAAAGACGTTCGAAATGTGGTGTTACATGCGAATGATCTGGATGTCGTGGATAGATAAGATTAGCAATGAGGAGGTATTAGAATGAGTAGGAGAATTAAGTCGTTATGGAAGTCAATAAGAAATAGGCAAGTTAGGTTGGTAGGACACCTTCTCAGGTATAATAGGCTAGTTAGAGACATATTAGAGGCAGAAACGGGAGTTAGGAGAAGCAGAAATAGGAGTTAACAGGAATAGAGGTACACCTGCTCTGTTACTGTTTACAAATAGTTAAGGATGT